GCTTGGTGCCACTCAACTACGATTTGACATCATCAAGTTAGAGAGCTTTCGAGGCAGCCACACTCAACGCCCTTCAACCCACGTCTAGTGTGACCAAGTCAAAGAGCTCCCCTCTATCTCACACCCAAGGCTACTAATCCAACGCTCGACATTAGTGAGCTAGAGAGCCTTTGGCCTGCATCACGTCCAACACCATGAAGTTGCGTCCAACACAATATCTATTTCTGTACTTGGTAGAATCATAGTTTTGGCTTTAGACTAGCAAATAACCAAGAAAACCAACATGCAAGTGTATTTCCAACAGATAATCCACTTATTCAACTCATATTCATTCAAATAAACAATATCCAACCACCAATAATTCATATACATCAATTTCATCTCATTTTCACCAAAACCCACTCAAAAACAAGATTCTCGCCAATCAACAACAACATCTTAGCCACAAATTAATGAAATCAGGCAGTACAAAATTTATACACTCCATCAAGCATCTAAGTTATAATAGCTTCCTTTACCACCGATTGTCTAAAAAAGAGGTAGAAGACAAAAAGAACAAAATCCTACTTGAGTTTAAGGTCCTCCTACACCACTTAGGGTACCCCTCTTTGGGATATAGTGTGAAACAATTTTCTTTTAATATTTTTTATTGCTTATATCTAAAATTAGATTAAATGTATTAAGAAAATCAATTATCTATATTAAATTTTACTAATCTAATAATATTAAAAAATAATCCTTGTTAAATCGGGTTAAAAAAGAAATTTGTTGAAAAGTCAAACATTTAATAAAGAGTATCATGTTATTTATATTTGAGGAAAAATATTTTCTTTTGTTATCATTACTAGAATTTCTTTTATTACATGCGACTTTTCCTGTGAATTTTTATGAAAAATTCGCAGGAAACGTTGTTCTTACAAATTTTTCTGCGAAATTATATCTACAGGTAATACTTTCAGGGATAATATATTTTTGCAAATTTTAAAATTCGCAGGAAAATTTTCTGCGAAAAAAATTCGTAGGAAAGTTTCCTGTAAAACAAAATTTGCAAGAAAGTTTTTTGTAAAAAAAAATTTGCAGGAAAGTTTCCTGCAAATATTTTCGCAAGAAATTCTGCAGGAATATTTTTTACGAAAAAAATTTAAAGAAATTACTATAAATTCTATCAATAATTCTTCAACTTTTCAAATGCTCACAATGAATTCATCCGAAACATTTGTTTCCATGCCTCCAACATGTGATACATAATCTTTTAAATTCTAAGATTGTAGATTATAAGCCTAGCACTCAATCATACAAATCAACTTGTAAGGTAAGTGTTGTCCCAACTTATATACTCTTTAATTGTTTTATTTTCAATCGATGTAGGACTTGAAGTTTTTCTAAAATATTAAACTTATAAATTTAAATATTTTTTTTCTTTTTCCTACGGATTAAAATTTGCAGGAAAATCCGCAGGAAAAGTTACCTGCAAAATTTTTCTACCATTTAGTAAACATTACTTGCGAATTTTATTTTTGCAAGAAAATCTGCAAGAAACAAAATAAAATTCTTACAATATTTTCTGCAAATTTTTACCATGGAAAAAAATTTCTATGATTATTAAAATTGTAGCAAAATTTATAAGAAATATCTATAAATTATTTTTTGCAAATAAATTCACAAATAAATTTCTGTGAATATTTTTTTACAGGAAAATTCGCAAAAATTTTACTAGTACAAAAAGGGTAATTTACGTCGGTTATTTTAAGCTTTTTACGTCAAAAAAAAGTCTAAGGTTAATGTGGGAGACGTAAATTTACGTCGGTTGTAAAGGTCGACGTAAATTTACGTCGGACATTGCCAAGACCCGACGTAAAAAAGTTGTAAGACCAAAAAAACACTAAAATATTTATATCATTCCAGATGCACAATTAACACACAAAGAGTACAAGCAGAATAGACCGTTCTACATCGAGAACGGACCGTTCTGCTTGGAGAACGGTCCATTCCACATGATATTAACTAATATATTAACAAAGGATGATCCACCCAAACGCGAAAAAGAGGATAATATTAACTAATATATTAATAGATCAATACATATATTTATTTTCAACAAATTAGCTAATATATTACGAAAGTATTTTCTAAACTAACCTCAAACGCAAATCCAATGCATTCGGTCATAAACTCAAGAACCACCCAAACGTCCAAACATACACTCAGATGCAATACACTCAAATACTCAGAAGACTCGTTTTGCACATACACTGATCAGGATATAATAAGACTCAGATGCAATACACTCGTTTATTGCACATAAACGCACGCGAAGAAGAGGGGAGAAATTCATACATATTTTATGTCGGACCTCATAGGAGCCGAAGTAAATTTGAAAATCTACATCAAACACGAGCTATATCCAATGTAAATTTGTAAATTTATGTCGGCCTCTATGAGGTCTGACATAAAAAAACTTGATTATAATTTCAAAAATGCTACCATATTTTTTTAACGTCAGATTTTTCTTTGTCCAACGAGAATACAGTGACGTAAATTCCATATTTTGTACTAGTGATTTCTGCGAATATTTTTTTCAAGAAAATTCGCAGAAAAATGACACTTTTCTTGTAGTGTATATAAAATAATATAGTAACAAAAAATAATTATATTATTCATTAAATATAATTTCATAAAAAAATTTATAATATTATTTTTTATTTGTCTTTTTGTATTATATTACTTATTTTATTTTATATTTCTTTGTATTTCACTCAATTATTTTTTTCCCATTTTCATTGTAAAAAAAATAATTTCTCAAATAAAGAATATGTTGGTAATGTCTGAGCTGAAAGCTTCGCATCGTGGTTAGTGGGGCCTTGTGTATGCTTGAAGGTGCTCTTCCCAATCACTCATTCATCAGTGAGCACTGAAAGAAGTGATAATCATTCACGAAACACATTATGGGACTCCAAAGAAATAACACGCAAATTATCATTTTTTTTATGAGTAATTTTATCACATATTTTGTATACTTGTATTATAATTTTGTCTATTACGTGAAAGAAGCATTTTTCTGTTGAAAGTGCCATCAGCTTACATAATTGAAAAGAAAGTACTGTATTAATTTATTCTTTTGCTCTAAAATTTGATCCACTATTTCAAATAAAAAATTGTAATCATATTTGAAACAAATAATACATGGATCGATAATATAAATTTAATATTGTAATAGTAAATCACTATAATTTTCAATTTCTTTAAGAAATTACACATTCTAATTGTAAATTTATTAAATTTGACAGTAACATTTTAAAAAATTATAGTATTAATTATTTCTGTTTAGCTGTCAAAAAGAAAAATAATTCTATTTAACTATAAGCTAGTGTAAACATTTCTTTTTCTATATTAAACTCTTATATTTTCAAGCATACTCTCACAATTCTAAGATCAGTGAGTTGATTAAAGTGTATGAGTGTTATAAATTTCTTACTACCAAGTTCAATTTTTACGAGTAACAAAAAAAAAATACTCTTACATTTGTTCTTATGAAAAAATTAAATATAAATAGTGTTAAATAGTATAAATTATATATAGAACTATAAGATAATGTGTTTGAAAATAGTATATATATCTTTAGCTGTTTCAATTCATGGAAGGTGATTCATAGTTTTAAAAGCTCACATTTTAGCCTTTTTGTCCCATTGTAATTTTGATTAACAAAAGTAAAGCATCCCTTTATTGACTTGACGTGCATCAAACATTAATGCAACCATGTCTCAAAGGAAATGGACGAGTGACGTGTGGGACGTGGGTGCTGACAAGTAAAAGTATAGAATAATATACACTTTCACGTATATAAGTTCTTTTCGGTATAACATTAATAGCTGTCTAATGAAAACTCAGTGAGTGTGACTCAATTTGTAACACACTGAATTTGTGGATAAAACTTAAGTACAATTTCCATAGAACATATCATTAAGGAATGAAAAATAAAAACTAAGTCTAAATCCCATATCCGAAATTAGTTTCATAATTGATTTAAAGAATCAAAACTTATAGAATTATTTGGAATCTTTTCCGTGAATAAGATGAAAATAATTACAGTGGTTATAAAAATGTTATCTGTGTAATTGCTCCAAACGAAAAATTATTCAGCAATGATTTTGCATATCATTTTCATTACAAACTTTTGCATTACTTTTTAAATTAGCTAAAAGTCAAGTCAAAACATTTTTTTCTTCTACTTTTTTGTGTTGAAAGTGTGAGTGAAAACATAAATTCTGGTGTATAAAGTATAAATATCAAATATAAAATTACCTCTAATAAAAATAGTATAACTATGGTGACTGTAATTTCTAAAATAACAAGACAAAATACAAGGAAGAAGCGTGCCCTGTTATTATTCTCGCATGTCCGAATTCTTAATTTATCACCTTATTTTTTTCCAAAACGATTTAGGGGCGAAAGAAACAAATTTCTGGACGCAAACTATTCAAATAATGTTATTACTTCCCACACAAGGCGACAAAATCACCCAAAAAAAAACCAGAGATATTAAACATTTTTTTCGTTTTATATAAAAGTTACGTTCGTAAGTTTCCAATTATGATCCGTCATTATGTAACCCATGTAAAAGTGGGCACTCTACGTATAGGTGTGAAACAGTACAAATTAGATCCTCCCCACACACATTACTATTATCATTAAGAAGCATTCGAAGCTATATAAAGAAAATAACAAAACTAGCAGGTTAAACTTACCAAACATTATGCCATTGTTTTGCACAAGTAGTGGGCCAAACGAAATGACCCAAGTCACAGTTCCTAGTTTAGTTTCACCCCGTTCCAATGTTGAAATTATTCAGCAGTGATTCTTGAACGACTGATGCAGTGGCTGATACTTTTTAGTTATAGTAAAACTAGGAAAAAGCAATAATTGGGTGAATTGGGCACAACAACCAAAAGCAGCCTCCACCATTCAAATACCATATCCTAACTCTACAACGTAGCATGATCTTATCATCAATCCTCAAATACAACAACAGTGTACCTCGCAAATAAATCAAGACCAAACGCGCCCACACCACAACACAACACAACACAAGACACACATTTTCGCAGAAGCGTCCACCACACGGAACCTCCCAATTCCTTCACCTCTAAATTAATACTTTTCCCCGCAGAAACAAAACACTCTCCAAAGCCAACAAGAAGAAGAAGAACAAAGGACGATGTCGGTGAAGGAGTGCGAGCACCACAAGGGAAAAAAGAGGAAGATCTTCCAGCGAATATTCTGGGGCATAGTGGTGTTCCTCTTCATCGTGCTGGTGACAATCCTCATCATATGGGCCATCCTTAAGCCAACGAAGCCCACCTTCATCCTCCAAGACGTCACCGTTTACGCCTTCAACGCCACCGTTGCCAACTTCTTAACATCCAACTTCCAAGTCACGCTTTCCTCGCGCAACCCCAACGACCACATCGGAGTCTACTACGACCGCCTCGACACCTACGTCACTTACCGGAGCCAGCAGGTCACCTACCGCACCGCCATCCCCCCCTCCTACCAAGGCCACAAGGAGGTCGACGTTTGGTCGCCGTTTGTCTACGGCACCAACGTCCCCGTCGCCCCCTTCAACTTCTTGAGCCTCAGCCAGGACCAGACTAACGGTAACGTCCTCGTCACCATCAAAATTGACGGCAGGGTCCGCTGGAAGGTCGGCGCCTTCATCTCCGGCCGCTACCACCTCTACGTCCGCTGCCCCGCCTTCATCAACTTCGGCCCCGCCAACAACGGCATCTCCGTCGGCAAAGACGCCGTCAAGTATCAGTTAGTCCAACGCTGCTCCGTTAGCGTCTAGACATCACGATAAATGCTAGTAACACATTTTCTAACACATACTTTTTGTCGTCGGTTATTATCATCACTCCAAAGAATCAATCAATTAGTGACCGAATTTAGTGACAAAAATACTTTGCCGTCACTAATACCGTCACAAAAATTTATGTTTCTCTCTCATGATTTTTAATAAATTTAAACTAATAATAATTTTAAAAGTGTTTTCCAAACATGTTAAAAAATGGTTGCTAGCACTTTTCGTATATAGTCTCTACTCGGATCCATTGTATTTTTATACGTACTTTTTTTTTTTCTGTTGTGGTAATTCTACGTGTATGTAATGGTCGTTAGATGTTTGTATTTTAATTACGTTTTGCTATAGCGAAAGAGTCAATATATAGCAAAATTACAAGATGCAACGTGGAGATTAAGTGTAATTGAGCTACGATGGCAATAAAATTTCTTGTTTCATTTTGGTTACCAAATGAGAGTGTGATGCAGCATCCATCCAGTGTCATTATCTTTCGTTTTCTCAACAATATTCTTGTGTGATTCGAGGTTTTTTGGCTTGTTTCATTTACTATACCCACCTTTTGGAGGTTTCTTTATTCCATAGTTGCTTCTTTTATTGTATTGGTATATGTGAGTGTATATTCACAAGCCATATTCCATATCGCTTGCTTTATCTGCACGAATTGGACCACTTTCTATTTATTAGTGTTATTTTTAATTTTTTTTCTTGAGTTTAGGGATTGAATATTCATTCGGCTGGAGATATACCTGCACCGAGTTTCAGGTTCCTTTTGGTGTATATGTTATTCAGGATAGGAATTTGGGAAAGGTTTTGTGGTGGGATGTTCCATCTGGAAGAAAGGTGGTAGCAAGGTTGCAAAGTTGATCAATTTTTTCTGTAATGAGAACGCATTTAGGGGTAAAGGTGAATTATTGAAGTGGTTGTGGGAACTTTTGGAGGAATATTGTGGGTATTGTATTGATCCACACGGCATGGTGGTGGTGGTCCTTTTCACATTCCCTCACCTACTTTAGCTACTAATAATATCATGAAAGAAAATTTTCCTTCCATTAAGTGTATAAATGAGCTGTCCTTATCTACACCCATAATCGTTAATCAAATCAAAGCTAACATCACCCAACTCAAGGACTTTTCTACTTGACTAATGTGATTTTTTTTTTTAGTTTATTAAAATAGAGTAGCATTTAAAAAATTAAAAATAATTTAAATTGTAAATAAGATCCCACGTATTAAATCAAAATCATATTTATTATCTAATTTTAATACTATTTTAAGTATGTTGCATGTAATAAAATACCACGTTACTTATTGTTTAATTATTGTTACAATTCATACGCGCAAAATATGACTTATGCACATCTTAATGTAGTTGTAACTAACAGATATGATCTACGGGAGGTGATTTTTTTTTTGAAAAAGTAAATAAGTTGGATTTAGAAATTATAACTAAAAAAATTACATTGATCGTATGCCGCAATACAACTTATTTCAGTTTTATTCTCTTAAAATAAGTTGTTTTTAAATAAGACTTACACTATTTTAAACTTTTTCTTTGGGACCATTCAAGTAATTTAGAAAATAATAATTAAACTATGTAAGTTATTGTCAAGCACATATTCAGCATCATGTGCGAATCACTTGGCACTAACAAGGCATCCGGAAAGTAAACACTGAAAATTTTCTATGTAGGTTTAACGTGTTAAATATTGTTTGGTCGTACAAGACAATATTTAAACATAAATACATAAGGTATAATTTTATTGTTATATCTAAGTTTTTACACATTTAAGATTGTAGGACAGAAGATAATGTGTCAACATCTAATTAAGTTTAATTATCCCAGTTTAACGCCATCCAATTCTACCTTTAACTCGTTTAATCGAGTTCAAACTTGAAAACAAAGTTATAGCATTAAACGAAAGTTAAAGATTGAAGAAACCTTTTGATTATTTTTCAGAAGGATTAAAAAAAACTTTTAATTTGTCAAAAAATCACAATCATCACCTTGTCAATGTGAAAATGACTCACGACGCTCCACATAATGACACTCGCCATGCACATCCAAATCAGCTACCCCTACTAATGCGTCTAACAGGACAAGCGTAACGTAATCAATCATAATATCTCTTGGTTTTTCAACGGAAAAGTATCATCTTTATTTCAAGCGAGATCTATTGCTCAAGAAATATTTAATGAGTAAAAAAAAAATGATAATCTCAAACCTGTGACCGCGAAGAAGAGCATAACAGGCCAGAGGCCCAAATGTCTTAAGAAGCAGTCTACTTGGTTAAATGATTTCCATTAAGTTTGTTTAGCCTAGCCCAGTTGTACTGGCTAGTTTTATGACCTTTTGAATCAAGGCTTCTAGAAAGCCTTTTAATGATGTAAGGAATTATATATCCAGTAGTCTTCATGTTCTTAATATCTTAGATATTATTAACTTTAATTATTGTAGATAGGTCATTCCATCAAAGAAATCTCTCTAATATTTGCTTAAATTTCTTTTTATATCGGTTTAGTCGATGGAGGGAGTTCAATCACCAAAGTATTGAATGAGTGATTTTTTTCCTAAGTGTGTAATTGTAGTCGTACAATCTTTATGCTAATGTTACTCCTTATCTTTTTTGTCATAGCCTTCACATGATCCATTATCTAAGGAATAGTTTTATCATGTTATATATGTATTTATCTTTATGAGTTTTTAGGTTATCAACAAAGAAGGAAACAATCCCATGTTGATTGTTATTCATGAAAAAGGAGCCAAATATATACAGGCAGCAAGAATGAGAAAAAGGAAGGGAGGTTACATAGAGAGAAAAACAATACAATCAAAAGATGAGGTGGCAGAGCAAAATAACAGAAAAGATTCTAACTAAATAACACGTGCTACATGGCTGCCAGCAAGCCATTATTCCATAACTTTTACCCATTATCATCATTTGTCTCTATCTTCTCTAGCCTATTTGAATTGTAACAGGCCCCCTAAAGCTGGGAATGGATGTCATACATTCCTAGCTTGCCGTAAGAAACTTTAAAAACATGAGGATGAAGAGCTTTCGTGAATATGTCTGCAAGTTGCATTGAAGAAGAAACCGGGAGAAGCTTGAGAACTCCAAGATTAACCTTTTCTCCAACAACATGGCAATCTATCTCAATATGCTTCGTTCCCTCGTGAAAAACCTGATTACAAGCTATTTGAATGGCAGAATCATTATCATAGAACAATAACGCAGGCTTTTTGTAAGAAACTTTGAAATCATCAAGCAAATAAGAAAGCCATTGAATCTCGCATGTAGTTGATGCAAGAGCCCGGTACTCAGCCTCAGATGAACTACATGAGACCGTTGCTTGTTTCTTTGACTTCCAAGAAATCAAAGAATCACCCAAATAGACAGAAAAACCAGTAACAGATCGTCTTGTCTCAGGGCAACCTGCCCAATCTGAATCACTAAAGCCTTTTAGTTGTAAAGCACTTGAGGAAGAAAAGAAAATTCCAACACCAAGAGATTGCTTTTAAATATCTTAAAACACGAAAAACAGCCCTGTAATGAAGATCAGTGGGGGAGGAAACAAATTGACTTAGATTTTGAACAACATAGGTGATGTCTGGACGAGTGGAGGTAAGATAAACCAGTCTTCCAATCAACCTTCTATAAGGAGAAAGATCTACAAGTGGAGTGCCTGTGTCTAAAGTCAATTTGGTCATATAGTCAGTTGGAGTGGAGGTAGGAGCACAAGCTAACATTCCAACATCTGCTAACACATCAAGAACATATTTTTGTTGAGAAAGATGAATAACATCAAGCGAACGAGCCACTTGGAGACCAAGAAAATATTTGAGATTACCCAGATTTTTGACTTTGAAGGCTTGATCTAAAAGGAGGGTGATATGGGAAATTTCTGACAAGTCATTTCCAGAGAGAATGACGTCGTCCACGTAAATGAGAAGAGTTGTGATGGAAGTACCCGTGAATTTCAAAAATAAAGAATGATCTGCTTGAGAGTGATGATAACCATGAAGAAGAAGGAAGCTAGACAATCGGGCATACCACTGGCGGCTTGCCTGCTTAAGACCGTATAGAGAGCGTTTTAGAAGGAAAACTTGATCATGTTGGGCTGAAAGACCTTGTGGTACATGCATGTAGACTTCTTCATTGAGTTCCCCATGCAAAAACACATTATTGACGTCAAGTTGCTTAAGATGCCAGTTGAAAATAGATGCCAAAGCAAGCAACATTCTTACAGTAGTTATCTTAGCAACAGGGGAAAACGTGTCTAGAAAATCAAGACCCTCAAGTTGATTGTATCCCTTGGCAACTAAACGGGCCTTATACCTCTTAATAGTTCCATCAGCATTATATTTAACCTTGTAAACCCATCTACATCCAATAGCAACCTTGCCAGGGGGTAACTTAGTTAAGGTCCAGGTGTTATTCATCTCAAGAGTAGCAAGTTCTTCCCTCATAGCCTTAACCCAACAGTCAGATTTGGAAGCCTCAATATATGAGTGTGGTTCAGTGATCATATTGATGGAACAAATAAATGTCGAAAGGAATGTGAAAGACAATTATAAGAGAGAAAAGAGTGGAGAGGATACCTGACATTGAAAGAAGTTGGCATAGGTGTAGCAATATTGCAATGGAAATCTCTTAAATAGTTTGGTGGCAAACGGGTCCGAGATGAGCGTCTTAAATGGATGGACTGAGGAGAATTAGTGATAGGTGGAGACTCACGAGAGGAGATAGGGATATCTAAAAATGAATCTAAATGGGAATTGGTATCACATGGCTCAGGGGTGTTTGACCGAGACACAATAGGTTGAGTGTTGTTGGGACAAGGCTGAGTACAGTTAAAAGAGAATTATGGTGATTTTGCAGGGCTGACGGAAAGAGATTTTTCATGAACATTGGCTTGTTCTGCTGTAGGAGTAAAGTATATAGGCTGGTTATGAAAAGAAGTCTTGGCTATAGGGTGACTAGTGGACAAAGAAATTTCATTATCTTTATTTTGAGTTTTTCGAATGAAGGGAAAATGGTTTTCATAAAATAACACATTCCTGCTAACATCAATGGAGTTATTTTTCAGATTGTATAATAGGGAACCTTTTGTGTGATCTTTGAGACCAATGAATACACATGGGTCAGCTCGGGCATCTAACTTTTTACGGTTGGCAGATAAAGTATTTTCAAAACAAAGACAACCGAAAACTTTGAATGAAGAAATATCACAATCTTTATTATATAACTTTGTGTAAGGTGATATTTAATGCAAAATTGGAGTAGGAATGCAATTTATAAGTGTGACTGCATGTTGAATGGCAAAATACCAAAATGAAGGTGGTAGCGCACTATGAAACAATAGAGCACGAGTAACGTTCAGAATATGTTGATGTTTTCTCTCCACAATCCCGTTTTTCTCTGGAGTTTCAACACAGCTAGTTTGGTAAATAAT